CGAATTCTGGCTTTTTGTTTACAACAGCAAAACTTACATTCTTTTTGCTTTTTTTCATAAAAAATTAATGTAATCTTAGTCTTAGATAAGTTTATCACTTAACCAAAGTGAAAATAGTAATAATAATAATATACTTACGGAGCACCAACTAAAAGTTTGCTGATTTTCAATACAAATCTCTCAAAAGACGTTTGAACAGGTCGGTTAAAAAGACACCAAATAAATAAAAACGGATCAAACTACTACAGCGCCATCTTCCTTAGAGTCTGAACTAAGTCCTCCGTCGGTAAAAAAAATTTTATTTGCAATTTAAAATAGTGAAAATTAAATAAAACTAAAATGGGTAGACTCGCCCCGGTTTACGGTACCGATTTTTCTATATATTGAATTAATTTTTATCTCTCACAGGACCTTCTATTGGCCGAAACGAATGCTGCCCCCTAAAATTATTTCTCATAAGGCATATATCCCACTAGTTTATTTCAAAATTGGCGAGTCACACTTCCCTAGTTTCCCCTGTTAGTGTAAAGTAACTGCCATTATGTTTGCCTTTTAGTAACACTAAAATTTATAGTTACTGTAAAATATGATGCACATGAGAATCTGTAAATTTACTTTTACGATACAATCTAAAAAATGAATAATAAATTTAGAATGCATATATACAATATTTGTTCAAAAAAATTAGTTTGTTCAATTATACACAAATCACAGGCAGAATAATCATATAAATAGAAAGAAATAATGTAATCAGAAGTAAATAGAAGCTTAATGTTGCAAAATAATTTTATATAATAGACTAAATTATGTAAATATCATGAGAACATAAATATCATTATTATACAACTAAAAACATACATTCATTTTATAACAATTAAAATAAGAAATTTGCCAAATCACTCCCGCAAGAAGATTGATTTTACTTGGCAAATAATTGAGCACAGTTATTGCTTTTTATGAATCATTAAAGAGGATTGAAACTTATTTGATATTAAATAAGGTGTAACCAAGTTGTTAATTAAATCCGACAAGAAGAACTCATTTTTCACATCTACACTTCATGTATATTAACCTCCATCGTGGTCACCATATTGTCCCAATTATTCGCTTTTCAACTTCTTATAATGTTGCAAAAGTATTTTATACATTTTTTCAACATTCTCTAATGTTATTTCTCCTAAGAATGAAATAGTTTATTAAACATACGCTAATAATTTGCTAAATCTATAAAAATTAACGAACTGCAGATTGGTGTAAGCTTTATCAATTATTGGTGTTAAGATGGTATACGCATAGCATAAGAACCATTTATTTGATTAAATTTACTTTTTAGTTTTGTAATTTTTACTAAATATGTGGTAACAAGAGCCATTTTAAAAACCAAAATTTCTGGTAAACCGTTACCATGCGAACGTTTTATGATAAATTACCAAATGAAATGTTTGAATACTGTATATTTTGGTATTGTTAACCAGAATATCATTTTTTTCTTCAGAAAATTCATTATCATGCAGTATAATAATTTTACCAGAATTTTTTCTACGCATATCTATTTCACTTCATTTTGTATTTCACTTCATTTTGTATTTCACTTCATTTCGTATTTCACTTCATTTTGTATTTCACTTCATTTCGTATTTCACTTCATATTGTTCACATCATTTTGTTCATTTCTCTTCATAATCAATCAGTTTTAAGAGTTTTGGTGGTGTGATCATGGAAACCTAGTTTGGCGAGATTTTCAAAAACTTGCTTTGCAAGATTTAAAAAAATCGCCACGAGGTAGGCTATTTTAGGATCCACCCGAATAATGTTACCAAGTTCATTAAAGCAAGAACTACTCCTTATAAAAAAAGGAGAGTTTATCATAAATGAGTTTCTTAAAAATATCAATATCACAGTACTATATCTATAGAAGATAACAAATTTAAAAAGCCTAATTTTTATAAATTTTTACAATAAATTTATGCTGACTGTACTAAAGAAAAAAATACTTCGTATTTTGTAACAGGAGGCACGAGAAATGTTTGAATCGCTGATGCTAGTTTCAGTGAGAGTTCCAGTTTCAGAAGATTACGATAATTTTGTGCGAGACATTCAGGAAACAGCAGGAAAAGAATTTTCCACGATTCTTGCCAAAGATGCGGTACGTATTTGTCAAAAATAGTCAACTAAAGTATTTTCAACTCTAATTTAATTCCATTGCTTTACAGAAGACAGAAAATTTTGATAAAAAGAAATAAATATAAATCTCTAAAAATTCAATAAAGAGAAATAAAAACCTTAACAATAAACTCTCTATAACACTAAATAAGCAGATTATTTAAAGCAGATAAATTAATTTTTAAACTATGCATTATTTGTTTTTTGAATTTGAACACTGTAACATAAAATAGGAAGCAGCAGTTAACTTAAGTAGATATCAAAATATCCAAATTGAACTACGGTATATGAATAATAAAGAATCATAATAATGAATAAGTTCCACATATTTCATGCATGGTACTTTTCTATGAAGTAAAATAAAAATAGTCGATAAATAATAATAATAAAACTGTGGAACAATTTTCTTTCTGCTGCATGCGATTTTAAAAAAGTTTTCGATACTGTCGTGTCGCTGATTTCAAATCTGCTGTCGGTTTTTCTCTCCAGGATGAAGTTTTTTTAATTGCATTTTTAGTCTATTTTTTGTGGGATTGTACAAGTTTAAAAACGTTCTATGCAACAGTGGGTCGCATAAAGGTTGCCAAAAAATTCTAGAGAGGTTAGGGCACATCATTAGTATTGAATAGGAACCAATTCCAAGAAATGCCGTCAGACAACGCAAGAACTGCCTCCCTATTATGAACTGTTTATGAACTGTTCATAATGAGAAAGCGCCCCTAGCCACTTACGACGACATTTCCGAGCATGGGTTCTTATGCCATTTTAATTCTGCTGATGTGCCCGAACTCAGCTAGAAGTTTGCCACAGCATCTACGCGATCCCCCACCACAGATAATCTTTTTAAACTTGCATATTTCAACAAAAAATATACTAAAAATGCCAATTAAGGAAAAATCTGCAGCTTTCGGAACAAAACTAGTTTCAGATTTGAATTTCCTACTTCCGAATAAAGCAATATTAAGTGTTTGTATGAACGCAAGAAAAAATTTGCTCCCCAATTAAATTTATTATGTTATATATTTACTAAACATAGCTGCCATTTTCTGCTGTTTCTGGTTAGGATTCTTTGCAATGGAAGCGATATAATAAATGATTTTACAATTGAAGGAAATACTTTAAAAATTAACTTAGCATCCTTAATTTATAAAGTCAGAAAAACAATTCCAGCTGAAAACAAAAATTATAAAAATTTAAAATATCAGGACACACACATATATATATATATATATATATATATATATATATATATACTCTNAGATAGATAGATAGATAGATAGATAGATAGATAGATAGATAGATAGATAGATAGATAGATAGATAGATAGATAGATAGATAGATAGATAGATAGATAGATAGATAGATAGATAGATAGATAGATAGATAGATAGATAGATAGATAGATAGATAGATAGATAGATAGATAGATAGATAGATAGATAGATAGATAGATAGATAGATAGATAGATAGATAGATAGATAGATAGATAGATAGATAGATAGATAGATAGATAGATAGATAGATAGATAGATAGATAGATAGATAGATAGATAGATAGATAGATAGATAGATAGATAGATAGATAGATAGATAGATAGATAGATAGATAGATAGATAGATAGATAGATAGATAGATAGATAGATAGATAGATATATAGATAGATAGATAGATAAATAGATAGATAGATAGATATCGATATAGATATACAATAAGATAAGGGAAAAATATTCATGAGGGTGCCCCTTGGCAAAATTGGCGACTTATGTTTGGCGCTATTCCTGTTTGCGCGGAACACCGCGGTAACAGTAATGGAGGCCAAAACATAGTGATATTTCAATAGAACATCGGAAAATTTCAACAAAACATCGACCCAAACTTAATAAAATTGCAATGAGCATAATATAAGCAAAATTAATAAACCCAATAAAATGCATTTTGAATTAAAACAAAAATTAATGGAATAAGTACAGAAAATAATCGACTCACTTTATTTAGCTATAATTTCCTCACTTTTAGATACACAGAATTCTCTAATAGCAGTTTTGTTTAAATTTATCATGACTAGAATCTGTGGTGCCGGACTGGCGAACATATCTTTCGCACAAACATGACATTTATACCGATTACTAATTAAACTTTCATTCATACACCAGTCAATCACTGCTTTTTTTCCCATTGTTATTCAAATCATACAGAAACTTAAGATTTATCTTACTTACCGAAGTCATTTTCAGGACCAGAAGCAAAATTAACCTTACCAGCCGAAATCCAACGTAGAACTAACTGACCTCTGAAATTACATATACAGTTGAACATTTAAAAATAACGCTAAAATTTAAACCAATCAGAATCACGATTGGGTTTCTACATCACCCAGATTGGCGATCTACTACGAACACAACTTGGCGAGAATTAAGGGGCACCCTCAAATATAGTCTACCCATATAGATAGATAGATAGATAGATAGATAGATAGATAGATAGATAGAGATATAGATATACAGAGAGAGAAAGAGATATGAGTTTGAAAAGTATTAGGATGGCTTGACGCCATTATGAATCAGAACCATATTCTATGAACAATGTCATAATTTCTGTATAGGATAAACATGCTTATAGAATAAATGTCACATCATTCTTGAAAACCGGAAGCTCTGAACTACATAAATAAGTGTGGAATTAATCAATCAAACTTATTTTTATCTATATACATTTCAGATCAACCCCATGATTGGCTCTTTTTACGACTGCGTCTTGCTGTATGGATACTCTCTCAACAAGACTTTATTCGAAAATGCAGATCCCTACAATGGAACGCTGATATCAAGGCAAATTTGGAACTCAACTTTCCACGGGGGTAATTCCTTAAGTAAAGGACTTCTTTTTCTTAATTGCCTATAAACGCTTTAGTCCTAATGTTAAAGAACAGGCACGCCTTACAATATCATTTTTATCTAAGACGTGTGCAAAATTAGCTTTGCAATTCGCAAATTGCATTATGATAAATATTATCACTTTCACGTAATAGGGTATCAGTTTGTCTTATTTTACTTAATATAAAACTTAAACGTGAGAAAATGAAAGCAATTTTTTGAGCGAACAATAATTTGAATATAGAATTCGAACATAGAATTAGTTTTAGAACATAGTTTGCTTGTTATTAGAATTTCATGTCCCAAATATGTCTGAGACTTACAAAAACAATTTCTAAATTACATTTTATCTGTAAAATAGGTATAATAATAAATCTTAAACTTGAAAGAAGGCATCGGTATATCTTATTTTAAAATAAAAATGAATGTTATAAATTATTCTCTTTGAATAAAACATTTTACGGATTGCATCTTTTGCTTGCGATTAAAATTTGATGTATCAAATATTATATACAATTACAAGTCCTAGAGTTATTTTAAATGAGAATTTAAAAATAAAAAAGAAATAAGAAATATGATTTAGAAATAAGAATTTAAAATTAAAATATATTATCGGTTCTTCGATACGAAGTTTTTGGTGCCAGCTCCAAATTTCTTCAACTTTTGAGAAGTTATTCATTTAACAGTTAATGGTTGTTAATCTCCTAATGATTAAGACATCATTATTCTTTGTTTAATAATAATTATTCCGTAAATATTTTAAAATTTTCTATCAGAAAAGTTAACTTAAGTAAACACAAGAGGTGAAATCTTAAAGAATAATACAAAACAATGCACGATTTTTGCAAACTCGTTAAGCATTCCAACTGAATGATGATTTTATCGCTCTTCTTAAAATGCACAAATCAAATTATCAATTTCTAAATACATATTTTATACAATTCTTATTTTGATGAAAAAGTGACAAAAAAATATTAGAAATTCAACGTTGTAAAAGATTTTGTATTAAAATGAAACGCTTGTTTTCAAAACATTTAAATTCAGGAAGTAAAGCATTTATTTATTATAAACAGAAAAGGGAGGAATATTTTCCCTTCCTCTCTTAAGAAGAAAACCGAAAAATTTTTTAGTCTGTTTTCGAACGCCATCGTCATAACAGTTTGGAGCGGGCTCCAAAAGCTCCATGTCAAGGAACAGACCTATAGTTTGCAAAATATTAAATCAAACAATTATACTGCGTTTTGTTTGCAGCTAAAATATTGTAAATCAAAACAAAATTCATTTTAAACTAAAATAACAGAAAGCGCTTGCATGCCCTTTAAAATTTAGAAGCTGACAAGCATATTTCTTCATAAATCATTTGCCTATACTTTATCATTAAGACGCACAAAAAAAAGCCTTAAACAGAAAATATGCTGAATTTCTTTTCCTGACAGATAAAATAAATTTCAAAAAATTTTTATAGGACCTGGTGTCACTAAGTTTTTAAAGTATGCACTTTTAATATTTTCAAGATTGATAATGATTGTTCAGAAAATTATTTTAAAGAAAATATTCAATAATTCATTAAATGTTCTGATATGAAAGCAATTTTTAACGCTTACTTATTCATATAATTTTTTCCTCTTACCTTCACTTTGGTATCATTTATTTCGTTCGTATTACTCTTATAATTTAATTAAATGAAATCGCTGATAATAACTTAATGACACTTTTATATAATATTGTTTCGTATTTATATTATTTTTTATGGAATTTACACCTCGGTTTTGTATATAATACACACATTTCAAACCTATGGCTTTAAATTCATGACAACTCAATAAACACTTGCACATTTCTATTAAAAACTTAACATAACCAAGATCGTATTTCTTTGACGTCATTATTATTCGAGAATTATTTTAATTTTTTTCTTCAATAGGGTAATATTCATCAGATGGCACGTTATCACATAGATCCTCAATAAAAAATTTGCCAGAATCTATTTTATTTAAATTTTATTCTGGTTGCTACCTTCATTTTGACCAGATTTAAATCAGATAGATTTAAAAAAGATTTCATTTGTTGGTATTATCCTATAAGGAATTATAAAAACTTTGAATAAGTAATCAGTTAAAAAACAATGCATTTTATCGTTAATTTTGCTAAAATTTAGTGTCAAAAACTCAAAAAACTGGTGAAATTTGAATCAGCAGTTTTAACACTTGCTTAAAACTTATCAAAATGACTACAGAAAGAGTATTTTACTTTAGCAAAGTTACATTTTATTCTAATTTGCTTTTATCGTTTGTTGCTTGATTTTTAATCACTTATTTTTTTATTAATTTAGGTTAACATTTTATTTGTAAATACGCTGCTCGCATTTCATTTATCTTTTTTGTGATAGTTAAAAAATTAATGTTTTATCTACGTAATTTGTTTTTGAAAAAAATATTATTTTTGAAAAAAAAAACGCATCTGTCTCTATACTTCAGCTACATATTCAGCTAAATATTTTATCTAGCAATTTATAGGCAATTAAACATTTTGAAATAAGTCAGAAAAACATCACATTTTTGTGACTAATTTATTGTTTTTAATTCAATAAATCAAAATTATTGTTTTGAAAATTAACTATTCCATTCGCTCTAGGAAGCAAAATAAACTTATAATTCAACTACTAATTTCATTGTATTTGCACTTGAGTTTTTAAATATGGAATAATGAAGAATAAAAAATTTTTCCTTAGAAACCAATAAATTTTTTATTTCAAAATCAGTGTATAACATTAAATTAAGTGTAAAAGCTTTCGTCTACATGCATGCATTATTCAGCGGAAGAAAAATCATTCGAGATATCCAACTAATTTAAACATTTAGTTTAATAAAATTAGAAATTCAAAGACGATTTTTTGTTATTATTATAATTTTTATTGATGTTATTTGGAAAAATGGTCTCATTGGTTTAAAAAATAATAAGTTTATGAGTCTATAGTAATTAATGCAGAATTATCTACGTATTTATGTAGCATATTTATGTAGCATATTATGCATTATTTATGTAGAATTATCTACATAAATAATGCAGAATGTTTTTATGTATGTGTGTATGTATGTACCCTATACAAATCAGCAAATTTGGTGTTTAGTGTTAAAAAGAAAAACTGACCACCATGAATAACTTTTGATCCAATGATTGGATTTTCACGTTCTAGATTCAATCTTAATCGTTTGAGAGGGTGATCTCAAATATACTTATTAATTAGTACTGACGATATTTTAAGTTGCAAAATCAGAATCAAATATTCGATTTATCAGGAACTATTTGACCAATTTCGCTCAAATTTTGTACTTTACCATGTGAATACCTTAACCGGAAAGCATGGAAGGGTAAGAGCCGCCTGTAAATTTAAAATTCTAAAAAACCTATCCATTTTTCAATTAAATTAGATGATTACGAAAATGATGGAATGAATATGAAAATACAACTAAAAGATTTTCATAAATAAAATTTCAAAAAATGAATTTTCAATAGGAAGAACAAAAAAACATACAGATTCGAAATATATTCCCTTACATGCTGGATAACAAATATTTAGAAGCTTTCAGCTAGTGGAAAAGGTCCTAAGAATTTCTTAGAAATTATATATTTACGCTATTTCATAAGAAAATGCTCAAAATGATAAGGAAGGAAGTGGATAATCAGAAGGAAATCTAAGTTTTGATAGGCAACATTTGATAAGCAATTATTTAAAGGAAAAAATTTAACTTCGAAATTAAAACTCTACAATTTTTTAATTGTCTAGTTGACAACAAACTATACAAAGTTATGATTGACAGCTGGTGTTACATGCGAACTTAATGTCGGAGACGAACGCAGAAAAAGGATGAATTATTTTTTTCCGCTCTTTAAGAAAAAAAAATTTAATTCGATTTAATAAATTTCGAAGTAGCCTTGAAAAAAGAAGAAAAATGTTTTCTGAACCAGACGAAATTCCTGCAGCAGTAAGGAATAAAATTCAGGAAAATTATATTCTCTTCTCCTAACGTTTTAAGTTTATTGAAAATTGTTGAGATACCATAACAACCACAAACAAACAAACTAAAAAATTTTAGAAAAAAGTTTGAAACAGAATCCCAAAATTTTTTGCATGGTTAACTCAACAAAAGCAGTAAAATTGATTCTACCCTTTAATATTTACTAAACTTACCTACGACTTTTCTTAAGCGGTAGTATAAAACTTATTAAATTTTATACTTATTAATACATCAAATAACCATTGCCACAGATTTTACAACCAAAATTAAACATTAAACAACGGTTTTATGTAATACAGAAATGTAATTTAGCTTATTCATTCATACATATGTAAACTGTATATTTAATACAATTGTACAGCCATAAATAATGAGGAAAATAATTTGATTATTATTTATTTTTCTTCATCTGAATGATGCATTGGTATTGACGTTTGAATTTTACGAGGTCGCATTATCTTACAAATGAAACTGATAAGTTGGTACTAAAACAGCTCTTACAGGAAATATAATTATTAATGAAAACGGAGATCGGGAAGCTGATTATACTCTAAATGACATGGATCCATTTACTGGACTCATGACGGTAAGTACGAATATTATACTTGTTAAAATGCCAAGATATGGTTATGTTTCATAATCTACACACAATACAATAAATAGATCTTGATTTAAACAATTATAATTTATTATGACCAAACCACGCTGGGAAAAAGTATATAGTTAAAACCACCAGAATATGATAAAATTTACCTTGTTTAGGAACAGAAGCAAGCTCAATAATTTTTAACGTAGTGCTTTGATAATAATTTTAGTTAAGTAAGCAATAAAATATGATTTTATAATATGTGATAAAATTTTACATGTTTTGCAAAATTCGGTAATTTTTTCATGATACCTTAGAGTATGGCATAAAAACCATTTATTCGTAGAAATTTAATTCTCAGTTTTATATTTTTTACTGAATGTGTAGTAATAAAATTCATAATTTTGAAATAATTTTTTGTATAGTTTGATTTTAAAAACTTAAATTATGGTTTTTCTACTAGGAATAGCATTACCATACAGTACGTTAATTTTACCTTAAAATCGTTTCCTCCGTACAAAATGATAGTTTTATTTGTTTGAATTTTGAAATTAACTATATCCGGTATCCCCCTAATCTAACCCATTTATATTCATAATTCGATGATTTGAACTTTTATTGTAGCAACTATCTATTCACAACTGATACAAAACATGTACAAATTGAGAAGTTTTCTCGTTTTTCAATGTGTGCAATACGTTTCCCGGCAATGTGGATGACGTAAGATACCTGTTCTATTAATAGTTCGAATGAAGAGGTATACAGCCGGAAGAATATTTTTAATAGTTCGTAAACTAATGCCACAAAGAGATTTCTTTATTTTAGGAATCAAACAAGGGTTACGTCCAGAGAGTATGGCTAATATTACAAAACTTCCCAACCCTATCGAGTGATATTCTTCTTATAAATAACATGACGACTTGGCCAACAAATATTTGCCACCTTTTGAAGTCACTTAAGGAAGATTTTGTCCCACCTTCTTACCACTGTTCTGTATTAAATATTAAGAACGAAAATAAAAGCGTGCTTGTTTGAGAGTTTTAGCAGCTCAAAAATACTTTAAAAAAGGTTTTTGCATTCATTTTAGTAGGATGTTCGAATGGAAGTCATTAACCAATATAATTTTTACGCCTTTCTTATTCTTAAAGTTAGCAATTTTTCCGTATTTAAGCATTCCAAAATTTGAATACTTGTTTCTTTTTTCGACCTACAAGATGAAGATCTGTCCCTCGAGTATGTGCTTATGTATGTATGCTATTGAAAAGAAACTATTTGCTCTAGATTAAAAAGAGAGAGAATCTATTTGCTCTTTAAATAACTTCTCATATCTTTAAAAGTCATGTTAATGCTTTTGAGCAAGAAGTAAAAGAGACTACATAATACCTTAGAAAACGGTTAGTGAGGAACAATCAGTGGCATAGATTATTAAAAATATTTCATAGATTGATATGGGGTTATTGGATCATTAATAAAATGGAATTATAGAATGAAATAAGACCATATGTATCAGATCACGCAAATGCTGCAAAAATGTCTTCTTCTTTCTTCCTTATCCCCAAAATCAGCAGGGCTAAACAATGCCCATGAAATTCATGACCCGGAGGAAGTCGGCAACCAAAAATAGGTTATTTAGAATGTCCCTTTTGTCCAGTCCAAGACAGTCCAGGATATGTTGGGGAGAAGTCAGAGTTCCATTGGAAGTACTTGAGTAAGGTAGTAAATTTTTCCAGCGTGGTCCGCTTCCAAAGCCACAAACGCGATCCTTTTTATCCTGCTCGACGATCGAGGCAGTATGAGAGTTGGAACAAGACATGAATTTCATGGTTAGGGTAATAATGCAGCTTCTGAAGTCCTATGACTGGAGCACCATGCTGGCAGAAGTCTGACTTGGCTCCTTCGCCTGTTGACTTTTGCTGAGTGTTATGGAACAGCCCTATCGCCATGGGTGACCCTTCCAGAAGTAAAACTCCAGACGTACATCGCCCGTTCCACTCAGGGTCACCCCCTCGCCACGATGAGGTAGCCAACAGGACTTGAGAGGGGCAAAAATATAATGGTACCGTTACGGACTTGATTTTATTTATGTTAAAAACACTTGTCATTTTTTAGTTAAAATAAATTTTAAAGAATCATTTTTCCCTTTTTGTGTCTTGTTTTACTGCTGAATCTAAAATTCAAACTACACCTAACAATATTGCAAAATATAAAAATATTAGAAAAAATACAAATCTTTGACAATATTTATGGTTGCTAAAAACATCAAAGTTTAACAAATAAGAAATAATTAAAAAAATAAAAATAAAGAAGAACTTACAAATATTATATTGAAAAAAATTGTTTAACGTTGGCAGAGTATTTTTATTTATTAGCCAATCGCAACATACTTTGGAGGAAAACAATTGTTTGAAAAGCTAGATGGATATGAAATTAATTGGCCTCATAACAAAGGAGCTCCTTATGATATACCCTTGTGTGGATTTACAGGAAATGCACAGGAATGCCTTCCACCAGGTAAGAAAAGGACATATTTATGCAAAAAATTTGAAACTACACAGAGAAAAATAGTATGCCTTGAGCTACCCGAATGCGGTAAAATGTACCTTGAATGTACCCTTTGGGAGTACCAAAAGTTTATAAAAAAAAATTATTTTAAGATTTTGAAAATCCCTATCTTGGTTTCTGACGTCTTCCATTTTTTTTATCTTCACCTAAATGCTTATCTTTCGTCCTAATATGAAGTTTTTTTGTGTCCACTTTTATAACAAAAATTATAAGATATGTATTAAGTCGATGTTTACGTATCATCCAGCATTCTATACTATATGGCACTGATATTTGGCGAAAGTTTTGCCAATTTGTCATGTTGAGAAAATCTAAAATCTTTAAAGGTTTCATTTTCTTAACTTAAAAATTTTAAAAGTTGTAATTATTTCTAATTCATTCTAAAAAAATGTTTTAATTGGCAAATATTTCGTTGAGTTTTCTGAAATATTTATAATTTTTGAAATATCCTAAGTTCTTTATGTATATTTCTTATCGAAGTAATTGACTTGATAAAATATAATTAGTTAAAAAAAATTTCCAAAACGGGAGCAATAAAAGAAAAACAGTTTCATCTAATTTTTAAAGTGAATTTTCCGCTAATATATTGAGTTTTAATACTGCAATATATCCTTTAAGTTACCTTTTACAATATACATTTTAAGTAATTATATAATATTCATAAACTTTTTGTTACTAAGTTTTAATACAACAATGCACCCATTAGAATATTTTAAGCGAAATAGATAGTTTGTTTTCTTGTATTGAATGTTTATAATTATACAGAATTTCTTTTTTTTTAACAGAACCCTTTCCAATACTTGGAGTGATATTTCCGATCATATGTTTCGTTGCAATTGTAGGTTCCTTGGCTGGAGTTTTTTCTTATAAGTAAGTTATTCGAAATTTTATGCAAAAATATCAGTATTTAATAGTAATATAAAAAATAAAAATAGTAATAAACCTAGTAGCAGAAACCCTCCAGAAGGGCAGTGAGCTCTGCAGATTATTTTTAATCTCAAACTTTATCAATAATATTAGGAAGAAAAACAGACAAAAAAGTAAAAGGGGAAGATTTTTTTAAATTCTCATTAAGGAATGATAAGGCATCATCTTTTCCCTCTTTTGAAATCTTCAACCAAAACAATTCATGAGTGTAGTGCTTTAAAGAAGCAGATACTTAAGTTTGCATAAAAAAAATTTATTATGGTCTCTGATACAGTTTCATCTGACATTTTACAACATTAGTCCCACTTAATTGCGTTCGGACTGCAGGTAAATTTTGATTTATAAAGATAGTTCTGCAGATTGGCTAAGAAAATTCCGTTACCAGGGTAATAAATAAAATAAAAACATATCCTATAAAATTATCATTATTAATACACAAAACGGGAAGGAACAAGCAATTGAAATACACAAAAATGTCACAATTTTAAAATTGTTTATAAACAATTTTGTTAGAATAATTAGTGTTTTTCTTCTTTCATTACAATTTCTATTGTTTTTTCTTTTAAATTAAGTGTATGAAAGAATCAAAGTCAATAACCATAAGCAAAAGATCCTGAATCTGAACTGTTAAAATTTTCATTCTGAAATTGCGGAAAAATAACTGACAGCAGTCTGTCTATCCGAATAAACATAAACTTTATGGTTCGGAACATTTTTTTGTCTTTGCGATTTTGAAACCGCTTATAACTTTTACGGTTAAAAAACCGTTATTGCAAAAACTATACGGTTTTGAAACCATTTACGAATAGAATAGCTTCTAAACCATAAAGATAAAACTTAAACGGACATGGGAGCTATGTGGGTGCTGCGTCATTTATGCGTGAATGATAGTTTCGTATTCTTAGGCTTCGTGGTCACCGATTGAAAAGTGCAAGACACTGTAAATTCTTCGTGCATTGAAGGAATGAAAGAAATATTGTAGTATCAATGCTGAGATTCGAATCTCTATTCAGCGGGGTTGTGATCATTGGCCGATTAGCCCTCTCAGCTACAGTATGTACCATGCTTCCCGAAACGAAAAGGCTTTATAAAGTAGGCGTAGTTAACACGGATAGAATTCTTGTTGTTTAACCGTATTAGGGTAAAACAGTCGATAAACTCTATTTTCCCAATTAACAGTTTGAATATTATCTTTCTTATGTTTATTTGAACGTTTAGGTGGAATATGGTACAATAACAGTTAAATAAATAGTTACTTAACCGTTTCTGCCTAGAAATTTCTAATAGTGTGTAGAATGATCGAAGAGTTGCGTAGTCTATAAAAGTTTTGCACACACGATTTATCATTTTAATAAATAAGCAATTATTAGACAAAAATTGCTATAACAGCTTTATTTATTTAAAATAACTTAGCGTCTGTATCGAAAGAATTTTATAAAGGACTTTCCTTTTATATAAAGAATTTCATAACGGAATTTTGACAATAACAAATCATCGAGTAGAAATACTTTATTTATAAGAAACTAGCTTTTAGATGTTGACTAATAAACTAAAAAAGCATCATAGCAATATTATTATATTAATTTAGATTTACAAAAAATATATAAATGGTAATTTCGGAACAATTTCAAAATGGTAGGGATAAATAGAATAAAAATAAACTTATTAATTTAATATTTTTTTATAAAATCACAAGATATTAAAAAACTGAAAGGCATATAGTTTAGGCATAAAAAATTTCGCTTTTTAATAAATAAATTGCCATGATTATTTTTTGCTTATTTTCCAAAAATAACAAATATTTTTTGTTTAAATATTTATTTATTTTTAGAAAAATCCTTCTTGAGACTAAGCTCAACGATATGTGGTGGAAGATAGAGTGGTCAGAACTTAAGTTTATAGAAACAAGTCAAATCGGTTCATCTCTAAGTTTCTCGAGAAGTCATCGAAGTAAATCAACTCCTACAACGGTAACATAAGTACATTCTAATCTTCTTGCACTAATCAATTGTACGTTAATAAATCTTGCATGTTAATCAATCTTGCATGTCAATCAATCTCGCATGTTAATCAATCTTGCATGTTAATCAATCTTGCATGTCAATCAATTTCGGTGATGTTTTTAACTCGATTATTTGATGCAACATCAAAATGTAACAATAAAAATTAAAATCGTAAAAAATAAATTCATTAAATAAATTTTAAGCTATAAATGGACATATTCCAATTTTAAAATTACAGTCTAATTTGTTTATAGTTCTTGCACTAATCAATTCGACATTAATCAATCTGGGAGAAGTTTCCAACACTATTATTTGCCAAGACACATCAAAATGCAACAATGAAATCTACAATCATTAAAAATAAATGAATTTTGGAACTCTAAATAGACACATTCCATAAAAATAAAATAATGTTTTTCTTGTTCGTGATCCTTGCACTAGTTCAAGCTGCTATATTGTCCCCAATCAAAAATGCATTAAAAAAATATTTTGCTAAATTTGGATTATCTGGAATTGGTACGAAGGCCTTCAAAAAATAATAATTAGCATATTGATAATCACTACAGTATAATACAGAAAATCATTTCTCTGTGATATAGACACGGTATTTCATTTTGGAAAACTATATAACTAAAATACATTCAAGGCCTATTTTCCATGCATTATTTAAACTAAACATATATCGCTGTTTTCCAAGAACTACCTAAAATATAGATTTGGGAAAATTACGTAAGCCACCGGGAGAATTACTTAATTTCTCTTATAAAAATGAAAACTTCAATCACCTAGATGTTAAAATTAATTTTTAAAAACATTCCAATCATGCAATAGACTTTCATGCCTAATACTAAGTTGATATTATATCAATCGTTTGGTAAAGTAAAAATTTTTGACGTATTTATGAAAAATTTAAAATTTTAAAAATACAGGGATTTGAAAACTTTAAATGTTGACTAATTATAAACTGTATCAAAAGGAGTGTGTCACAATTCCAATGATCTGTATTTATTACAACTTCAATATAATTGAAATTTAATTAAATTAAGATTTAATTAAATTAAAATTTAATTAAATTAAAATTTAATTAAAATTAATTTTAACTTCCAGAAAGCCTCAATTTCAAGCGCAGGGGCAACATTACAACTTGCACCAGGTGTTCGTATTGCATTATATAAGGTAAAAAAAATTTTTAACCTTTATGATTTTTTTAATGAGATTTTTTAGTTTGTAAATTAAAATACAAAAAATTAATAATAAAATTACAATAATTTAAAAGTACTTGCGCATTTGTTTAAAAAAGCAAACGATGCATTATGAAATTCGAAGTAATTCAAGAAACATAAATATCTTAAACTTCTGCTCTATATTCTCAGCATTAAGATGTTATTTCCTTTACTCGCGCCATTTACGCGAAGGTATCAGATTCAGTCAATAAGCGATCTTTCAAAATCATTCTTTAATCAACAGTTTTATATCATGTGCTCAACACATGGTTCACATCATCATTATGGGTCTAATTTGCTTTATTGTAACCAAGACATAAAAAACCGTACAAGCATAAAATTAAAATAAAAAAAATAATAATGAAGAAATTATAAAAAAAAACAGCAATTTTCAATGGAACTTGAAAGAAGAAAATAATTTCTTTTATCACACTGAAATTAGAAACGGGAGGCGCAACACTTTTGCAACAAATTTCCATCACTACCTCAAAAATTATGAGTCGAATAATTTTTATTTAATGTGAAACAAAAACAAAATTATTTTAATTTTTGCACAGCTTGAAAAAAGTGGTTTTAAAAAGCTATTTTATTTTATTACATAATTTAAATTTATCCTATTAAATGTCTGTAAAGTAATTACTTATAACGTTTTGAACACCAAATACGATGATACCCTTAAAGTGCAAGTTTTTTAATTTCAATTTTGATATGAATTTTCAAAATCTAAAAATTAAGGGCCATAATTATCATCCATAATTTTGTCTAAACAGCTGTCGTTAATTTCGTAATGTTTTAATGACTATACTGCTATCTATATCTATCTATTTATATACATAAGAAAAACTTAGTTGCATAAATACTGACATGATAACTATGCTCCTCTTGACGCTATTTCCATTCGGAAGCCAAAGAAATGCAAAACTAACTTTAGAAAATCTGCGTATAATCCTACTTAATAAAATAAGTTATAATACTCTCCGTATAATTCTACTACTACTCTGCTAGAGCTGGGATAGTCTGGTCGGTAGGGTGCTGGCCCCATGTCCCAGAGTTCGTGGGTTCGAACCTCGCAGGTCGAAGACTCCCCGTGTAGTAAAATGGTGACTGGTGCACGTTAAATCTGTCGAGTCGCAAAGTCCTCCATGTTCCCATAACAAATCAATACCTCTGGGGGTACTGGATTGGAGATCGATCGTTCTCTGTCAAAAATTACGATCTTTGGATGAATGAATGGATGTATAAATGGGTCCGCTCTATAAACGGGTGTGACGTGTGTGTGGCTGAATACGAATTCTCGAACATAGATGGCCCCACTGAAAAACAAGAAACGCACCCTTTGCCTTAAATTTGCTCGGTTTCACCAAGCAAGCTTGATAGTGTGGCAAGTGGTATTAGAAACAACAACAACTACTATGCTTACTTTATGAAAATTACAAACAAGTATTTCTGTATTTATAATCAATGTATTATTTAGGGTCAAAAAGTGGCTGTGAAAAATTTAAATATGGAAAATTTCCGATTATCGAGAGCCATGTTAGTTGAAATCAAATTGGTAAGTGCATTTTTTATCTTAAATTTTCATTTTATCAATTTCATTAAATGAATTACATATGTATTTACGGTTTTTGTACACATTCATATATTTTACTAGTGTATTTACTTTTATTGTAGCATTCATTTTTACTGATGAATTTATTTCAGAATTTACTCATAATTACTTTCTTTAATGCTTCAAAATATTTAAATAAATAGATATCATTAGCTTTCTGTCTTATAACAATATAAATTGTCCATCATCTTTTAAGCACTATTTTCTAAAACTATTCCATCATTTACATATTAATTCAACTCTCAAATAAGAAAAAAAAATTATTAAAATTTAGAAGAACAATAAATAATGCTTGTAGACAAATATTTTAATTAATATGCTGTTATTTACTCTCCATATAGTATTATCAATTACACATATCATTACTTATAGACCTCAATTTTACAAGAAAAGAACCTAATAGTATTAAAAAATGAATAGAAACATTTATATAGTCTTAATTTCAAAAGGTTTTTGCCTTAACCAATTATTTTTATAACCTTAATTTAAAAGGATTTGTTTAAGTTTCATTTAAGTACACTTAAAAAAATTGGTTCTACGTCAAACCATAATACCGATCACCGCAAATGTCCAGTTTTCTCCAGTGGACATTTGCCGCTACCTTAATAAAGAAAAAAAACTAAATTATATATCTGTTCGAATTGTACCATAGTATCACGTAATCAAGTTTAGGCAGTACGGTAAAATAGTTTAAATTAGTACCAAAATTGGTTAACCTAGTAATAACTTAGTCCTTAATAAAATAGTTATAAACCATAATAAAGTTACATCAAACTTGATTTAGTATAGTTAAACTCTCTCCAGTATTAAATAGTTCAGCAGAGTATTGAGAAGGTCCTGTCTTGTTTTTTAACGTTTTATAGATCCATCTTGTTTTGTTTGCTAATTCAGTTTTTCGAATCAATTGTGTTATTTTAAATGTAAGTGATATCTTAGATTTTCTCAACTAGATCACACCCAGATTTATTAGTTAACCTTCGTGTTAACTTTATATGGAATGAGTGTTGTATGGTTTTTGTTGAGAGAAACAATTAGGTTTGTCTTTTGTATCTTAGAAAAAGTCTCTTAGAAAAAGAATGCGAGTTTTGCACTTTATTTTATTTAACAGTTTGTGGTAGCAAGTAAAAAAAAGTCTCTGAATAAATTTGGAAAATAAGAATGAAACTGATAAAAGAAATTTAATGAAGCGTAAATTGTATGCTCGATAAATCCGTTTGAGACATCTACAATCAGTGTGCTGAGAGATTTCTTCAAGAGCCCTACGATTGATATAAAAATTTAACAGCAAATATATACTTGCGGAATAAAATAAAGAAATATTACAAAATATGGAAAGGAGTCGTCATGGCTGAAGGGCTCGAGCTCTCACCTTCCAATGAGGTGCCCACGACTCTAACCCTAGAGATGGCTGATCGCTACCAATTTCGCACCCGGTTTGCATCGACCACTCTGCTGACGTAACTATCCTCAGTAATAGACGGATCATGAGTTAGAGTTCCGTTGTCGTCAGACTAACCATGGGAGGTTCTCGTATTTTTCCTCTCCATGTAACACAAATGCGTGTTAGTTCTATCAAAAAGTCCTCCACAGAAACAAATTTTACCCAATACTTGATCAAGGAGTTGCCTTGTCCCCTAGATTGGAGTTCAAAATTACAAGACTACGGAGCTGAACATTTGTAGTAGTTATAACGACGGTTATAAAATAAAATAAAATATGGAAAGAAAAATGATTTGAAAGCCAATTGCAGTAATTTATTTAATTTTGAAACAACTTTTAACAGAACCCAAAAATCCATATAATTTATTATTTTCCTTACTTTGCTAAATTTCAGATTAGGGATATGACGCATGACAACCTTTTACGATTTGTTGGTCTCAGTGTGACTGCCCCAAACTTTGCAATCGTTACAGATTTTGCTACAAGAGGAACTTTGACGGTATGTTGAAATTTATTTGTTTTTTAATTAATTTGATTGCTATTATCCTAAGAACACTAAGCATTATTTTCATTATTTTCTGCATAAATAATAAAGGGATTTTCAAACAAATCATATAAAGCAAGTTCTTCAGCTCTCTGAATGACTTTTTTTCACGTCATTTGCTTATCAACTTAAGTTTCCCAACAAATTTATTTCCCACTGGCAGCTTGTTATAAGCAGTTCGCCCACGCCCATGAAACACCACCTTCTGTTTTACTTAATTTCTCCTCTTTTTTCTTTTAATTCTCTGCCCACATATTCAGAGTATTGATGGAAAGAAAAAAACAAGAGTTTGCAATTAATAAAAGAAAAATAATAAAATAAATTTACGAAAAAGAAAGCAAAACAAAAATAGCCTGATTTGATAACGATTAATTTTTAAATATTAAAAAAAAAACATTCTTCTCTCATCGAAAAGCAGATTCCAAAATTTTAAAGCCCTTCAAAGAGAATTGGGTATTTCCTCTGTGTATTTCCACAGTTAACTCGGAAGTAGTGAAACAGGATTAAAAATTATCAACGGTGGAATTCGAAAATTATATTTCAAAAATATCATTATCAGAATAAGTTTCTAAAATTGAGCTTGTCTTCCATGAACATTAAAAATTAGAAACAGGCTATGCATAAGCTTTACTTCACAGTTTTAAAGCTGTAAATATCTCTTTTTTTGCCCTGTTCAAATTATTCTTGTTACTATTCTAATCTGATATTATACTTGAAATTATTCTAACTACTAAAAGGACAAAAAGAAAAAAAACGAAGAGAATTAATAAAAAACAATAAGTTTTATTTACTGCGCATTAGCTGCAAGTAAATAGAACTCATAAAATAAGTTCAAAATGTAGCGAAAACATGGAAAAAATTACCGAACAATGAAAAAAAGGAAAATAATAATAATAAAAATCCGAAAAAGATAATATTATATCTTTCATTTTTCGGATTTTTATTATTATTATTTTTTCCCTTTTTTCTGTAATTTCATTAATTTTANAGTATTAGAGTCCTCGAACGTCTTAAATCCACACGACACTTGTAGTCTGCTTCATCAGCAGGAACAACCGCTTTCAAGACTAAAACGGGTGGATGAACATCGATGTTAAAATAAACTCGGTCCTTCATCTCTGGGGACGGAAAATGTTGAGCTTTTATCATAGGAACGTTCCTGATATCCAATGTATAAAAGGGATTTGGCTTGCCTAGTCTGTACCATAATATAAGAGATGCTTCGTCATCTTTTAGCGGAGTCGGTACGTTGCATGGTATGACTGCATCTTTACCAGCTAGTGCAAGAACGATTGGATTATCTGTGAAATAACACAAAAAATAAATCAACAAATAGCTTTTTTAAATTAGAATATATATTAAAAATAAGTATATATATATATATATATATATATATTTCAATTTTAATATTTTTTCTCTTACATTGAATTTTCAATTGTATGGCAGTATATTGATGATATCAAAAATGTTAATGCTTGGTGTTAACTAAATGCAGCCATTGCCATTTTACTTTAGAATCCTTCCATAAAATAACTAATAACCACTCATAAAGTATTTTGTAAACAAATATTTAATAGAGGAAATAGAATTAAATCAAATGATTATACAAAATTTTTAAATCCAGAAGAGATGGAATCTAATTACAATCTAATCTTGAAACTTTGAATTGGTAAAACATTATTATTGTCTTAATCTACTTTTCTTAGAATATTAGAAACTAATATATTTTTTTATTACATAAAATTAAAAAAAATTGCTTTGATTGTTTAAATTTCAAACTGGTAGTAATTGATCAGGGTTTTTTTTTCCTTAAAATATTTTCCTAAGGAATAACATTCTTAAAAATTAATTTTAAGAGTCGTTATTAATAACACCATACTTTATTGTTGTTTTAAAAGTTTTGAAATGAAAGCAAGGATTAGAAACTTTTTTCATAATATATGTGGCAAAAATATAACATAATTACCATACTTTCCCTTTCCAATACCCTGAATTTACTCATAATTTAATTAGTTCGTATTATAGTTGTCATTAAACACATTAAAACAAATTGTTATTGAATGTGTTAATTATCAGTTTGTCATATTTTGTTCATTTGAAGAGTAAAAAATATTTATTTACAGAACATGTTGTCTAACCGATCGGTTAATATTGATTGGCTATTCAGCTGCTCTATTATAACGGATATAGCAGAAGTAAGTTTCAATAGCGTCAAAAGTAAGCTATTTAATAAATAACTGTTTATTTAATTATTAGTAATTTTTATTGTATAATTGATACTTCATGAAACACCTTATACTCTAGATTTTTTTAATCCTTCTAATGTTCCCATACAGGGTTATATACAAAAGTTATTAAGCGAATCATTTATTTTACTGCTCATAAAAATATATTTGATGCACAATGATATCAGAACATCTCAATGTATCTAAAGATCAGATTTTATATGCTAAGATGCAATATTAATAATTTGATGGCTACTTTTTAATGCACTATTATACTTAATATTTGCCAAGGATATTTTAAATCACGAAATAAAACACAAAATTGTAATTTCCTTGAATTTACATGTTATATTTTTTTTTCAACAGCTTTGGATATTATGAAACTACTTTATCCAAATTAATTTGTCCCGCAGTGGACTGATTGTTAAGACACGTTTCCCATCAGATCACCGAAGTCAAGCATCACTGGCTGTGGTCAGTGTGCCGGTGGGTGACCCCTTGGATTAGTCTGAGTAAGGACCACGGATGTACTGTATTGGTCCTCGTTAAACTGTTCTATCATGAAGTGCTCGACTTCGCGTGCAGGTCGTTAGGCTACCGAAGCGGGGGTGCCATCCCTTCTGCAGAGGATCGAAATTGTGATGGCATGTCTTCGGATCATCTTCAGGGATGTTTCACAGACCGTCTCCAATGGTCCATTGTGCAGCTCTAGTGCGACGTAAATGAACTACAACAACAACCAAATTGACTTTTGCGTTTCTTATTATTTTCTTATTCTAATAATGACTGAAATGTTAGTTTTGAACTCTAAGATGTACAAGCTTTAAATTATTTTAAATGTGTACTTCTTTATGATTAATTCCAAAGCTTCAATGAATTTGGTCGCATAATTTCTGATCAATAAATCTTCGAAAAAGTCATAATTTTATTCATTTTTCTCAAAAATTATTTAATTGATTCCACACAATATTTTGATTTTGCCCTTTAAAGATACATACGATAAAGTTAAATAGCAATTTATATACCTTACAACTAGCTCTTAATCAATATTAAATTAATAAATACTTTAAAAGTATAAAATTTTCATGAAATTTTATTTTACTGAAAAATATTTTTGCCTAAACTAGTTTGATAATTAACTTTACTTTCGCTTAAATGGTTTTAAGAATTTGATGAACTAAGCAAAAAATAAAACTATCATAAAAAGACGTCGAATGATCATTTGTCTTAATTATTTGGATTTTATTTCCTGATTAAAATCTGAATTCGACGAAAAAAAGTATGTTAATTCAGAGAAAAGGTGCTTTCATTGATTATTTCGTTGCTTAAAATCTATAGTTTGCACTAATTTGTTAGAATATTTAAGATTAGCCTTTCGAACTATTAAGATTCCGCCTTAGTTTGTAAAATTCCGATCATTATGTCAAAAATTATTGAAATATTCTTATTTATTTGTGAACAATTAAAAGAAAATCATGAATCGAAACTTTAAATCTGAAATTTCCATATTGCAGCAATTGATCAAATGCCCTTTATTCCTTGATACATCATTCGTTCGTATAGACTTAATGCATGATGTTGCTCTGTATCATTGCTTTTGACTCCGATACGCTTTTCAATTTTCTGCTGTCTCTATAATAATTAGAACGGTATTTCATAAAAATAAAAAAATTTCAAGATCACCATTTTTCAAATGAATTAAAAATGAGAAAATAATTCTATTTTTTAAATTCCACTTTCAAAAAATTTAAAAAACCGCAGCAGACTTTTTGATGCGCAGTAAAATGTACCCGATCAAATTATGGTAAAAAGTACGTAGGATAAGGTACATTTTTACCGGAACGTGTTACAAAACAAAAAATATCTGATGTATCGCAATTTTCATAGTAATTATTCCCGTAAAATCACTGAATTAGTCCAATTAAATAAAATATTACAGTAAAAATTGCGGTATAATATTTTACAGTAAAAATGGATTTAACAGTTGATGCACCCAAAGTTTTAGAACTTTATACCGTAATTTTATCCTGAGTTTTTTACAATGTAAACTCTCTTTATACATATTTTTGCTCAGTATCATCAATGTTGCTCTTCCTTCTGAAACGCTTTATAATTTTCTGTCGTCTCTATAGTGATCAGAATATTTCATGAAAATGAAAAGTTTTTAAAAACAATGCTTTTCAAGTGAAATAAAAATGTAAAAAATAATCTTTTTTTTCATTCCCCTTTTAAAGCATATATTTAAAAAAAAAAGCGGGAGACATTTAGGTGCTGAAATTTAATTTCAAAAGTGATCGACCCTTTTTTTTCTGAATTATGATTTATGAAAATTGAACTATTTTCTATTTTTAGGCACTTAAAAAGCACAGTTTGAAAAAAAAATTATTTTATTTTTTTCTACATTTCAGTTTTGTTTCAAAATCAAAGACTTTGAAAAATGGTTATAGCTTAAAATTCATCAGTTAGTACTCAAGAAACTTAAATTAAATTCCTCTTTTGCGGAAACATAAATTAAATTTTAAAAGCATTTTCATCCTATTCCGTTTAAAATTTACACTGTAAAAGATTTCAGGAACTGACGTTTCCTCGACAAAAATGTCTTCTATAATCTCAGAGAACTTCATTAAATATCATATTTCCGGTCAATTGAGAAACATTTATTTTCAAAAGTAGGAAACTGAATCGCATTGATGCCGATACAGTTTCAGAGTGTAGCGTAGCTACCACTATCATTATTAAATTCCAATTCACTAGTGTGTGACACATGATAACTCGATTCTATCTTGAAGTATCTTTTCATCTATGACAGTAGGAATTGTTAGGAACCTAGCCCTACAAGAGGTTTACGTAATATTAAGAAACGCTTATAGAACAGTCTTCAAAGAATCAAAAGAAAAAATTCCGAAAAAAAAGTCAGAATGGTTCAAAATGGTTACAGAACAGGCTTCAAAGTATCAAAAGAAAAAATTCCGAAAAAAAGTCAAAATGGTTCAAAATGGTTACAGAACAGGCTTCAAAGTGTCAAGAGAAAAAATTCCGAAAAAAAGTCAGAATGGTTCAAAATGGTTATAGAACAATCTTCAAAGTATCAAAAGTAAAAATTCCGAAAAAACGTCAGAATGGTTCAAAATGGTTATAGAACAGGCTTCAAAGTATCAAAAGAAAAAATTCCGAAAAAAAGTCAGAATGGTTCAAAATGGTTATAGGACAGGCTTCAAATTATCAAAAGAAAAAATTCCGAAAAAAAGTCAGAATGGTTCAAAAAGCAAACTGTTTCTGAATATTGCATAAGGAGTTTTCCGAAATATTCATAAACGTTATTGAGAACTCCATGCATCGTAGCTGCCCGTAAATTCAGAAACATTTTTTTTAGCGTAACTTTGTCTTTTAGCTTCTTAGTTTAATACACGGTTGGCAAGAAAACTTACGACAATCGTTGTATTTTCATTTTCATTTGGTTCGCATAGAAAGGTTGATAAATTTATCCATCTTTTTAACTTAGTAGAAATATTAGTTTGCTAAGCTTGCTTCCCTAAAGTCTGAAGAATTAATCTTTACTAAAAATCCCATTTTTTAGTTTTTACCGTAAACTTTGTTTTTGCTATTCTTTCTTTCTAACTCTGTCCAAGCTCTCAAGCGAAACATTTTGTTTGGGTAGAAAACTTAAGAATCAGGCCACTTTGAAAGTGTTAACGAAAGCATATAAGAGCCTGCGCAAATAACCAGAATTTTTTTCACGATGTGCAGTTATCGTCTGATTCAAGATAATTTTTTAATCAGATTCCGCAATTTAATTAATATCTAAGTAACTAACTATTGACATCTGATTAATGATCTCATAAAGTGTGCGAAGCTCTTTGAGATGTGAAATAACTTACAAATTGATAGGCTTAACTTGTAAAAATGTTGTCTTTAATCAGATCGGATGTTATTAAAGTATGTTTTTTTTAACTTCGTCGATTATACACATTTTAAAATTTGTAATGTTATTTTTTATAGGGAATGTATTTTATTCATTCAAGTGAAATGAAATACCATGGACGTTTAAAATCTGAAAACTGTTTAATTGATGGCCGTTTCGTGGTGAAGCTAAGTAATTACGGTCTTAAAGATCTTATAAAGCAAGAGTTTCAGCCACAAGAAGAAGATGCCCGTAAGTAAAAATTACTTCTATTACATGTATTTGTCCTAAAATCCATGACTTATCACCAAGGATAATTTATTGGATCAATATATCTGATACTCCGTTGCAAGTTAAGAAAATAACATTGCGGTATAGGATTTAAGTAATCTTCCCGCGGCTGCATATAGTTCCATTTTATTTCATTACCAAGTTATGCAAATATGCTTTCAAAACTATATAGAAGCTTTTGAAAGATAAACGCGTCAGACAGAAATTTAATTCGTCCTACCTCTTTTGATGTATAACATATTATTATTAAAAAACAATTTATTGTTTCGTAGCCTTAGTAAAATCCTATACTTGGAGATATATTTCTATAAATAATGAGAACATTCGTTCTTGAAAAAGAAACAACCATAAGACATTGCAAGAGCATTGGATTTGATTGGAAAAATGGTGAGTCTTATGATGACAAACTTGCACAATCGGTACACAATCGAAACAATACGGTTAAACCTTGAACTAACTTTTATGACTGAGTATTCCATTAAAATAAAGTTAGCATTTTAGAAAAATAATGCAGTTAGCTCAAATTAGTATTCTATCAAAAGAACTGAAAGTGTTGTTTGTGAAAGTTAACCACATCGTTGTTTTTAACGAATCAGTATGTTGTACTCGGTTGCTTGAAAAGTAATTTCCTTTTTTTAATCAAAATGAAAGACGATTTTCTCCAATGAATAACTGTTTAATTTAATCATATATTGTCTATTTTGGTACAATACCTTTTTGCCACCTTACTGGCATAAGCATCCACGGGCAAAAATTTTTTGTTCTTTATTGGCAAAAAAATGATCCAGGTGATTTTCTACTCCTTACTTGAAGTAGAAGTTTTATCATCTAAAACATTTTGTAGAGACCGGAAAATTCTTGTTAACAACTCATTTCTCGTCTCCAGTGATGATGCTCTTCAAAAAGGCATAAGTCAAAAGGCAAAAAGGCATTCGAAGTTTTTTCCGTCAGGACGTAAGGAGTCCACATGTCGAACTTTGAAAATATACCTGAGTCTTTTCAAACGATCATTAACTGTTAAATTCAAAAAATTTAATTACTCAGTGATCTCGCAAATTGTTGCTCGCCGGTTTGCTTTTATTAATGTCTTTATTGAGTCTTCATCAGTTTAAATTGAGATGGATGCATCTTCATGCTTCGTAATTGAAATTTAGCCTCATTGAAGTTTTGCAAACCAGTTTTGGTACTAGCCCACTGCCAACACAATTTCATATTAATTTATTTTTTTGTTGTTGATGAAATAGCTATTTTACCTTTTCGATTGTTGAAAAATAAAATATGCCAAAAATTCTGTTTTTTCACTTTCCATATTTGAAAAGGCATCACATCAAACATTACTGCGTATAACCAATCGAACCTTTTCACAAGCAAGTCTTACTATATCAGATGTCAAAATATGTTATGATTATGCAGCTTAAGCGTGAAGTTCACTGTGAAAAAAATATAGTTAAGTCCTCTGTTGAGAAAGAACTAAAATTACCTTCCGAACAAAATATTATATTTTAGGAACTAACGGTATTTCTGCATGTAATGTGGCCGGGATAGCCTGGTCGGTAGGGCGCTGGGCTCATGTCCGAGAGTTCGTGGGTTGGAACCCCGCCGGCTGAAGACTCCCTGTGTAGTTGGTGACTGCTGCACGTTAAAATTCTGCCCAGTCGCAAAGTCCTCCATGTTCCCATAATAAATCAATACCTCTGGGGGGACTGGATTGAAGATCGATCGCTCTCTGATTCAGGTCAAAATTACGATCTGTGGATGAATGAATGGATGTATGAATGGGTCCGCCTTATAAACAGGTGTGACGTAGGATGTGGCAGAAGTCAAATTTTTGTCCATAGATGGCGTCACTGAAAAACAAGAATCGCACACTCTGCCTTAAATGTGCTTGGTTTCACCAAGCAGGCTTGCCTATGTGGCAAGTGGCATTAGAACCAACCAACCAACCTGTATGTAATGTTGCACGTTTCAAGAATTTACAGCTCAAGTGATGAGGGAAATCTCAGTAATAATATTTATCTTCTTGTTTTTAATATAGCCTCCTTATTGTGGACAGCACCAGAGCATCTTCGTCAAAAATACCCACGACTATCAGGATCGAAAAAAGGAGATGTGTATTCATTCGCCATAGTTCTTCAGGAAGTAATGACTCGGAAAGAACCCTTCTATGCAAAAGAAAGGAGTGGCAGAATATCTCAATTTCTGAGTCCTGAGGGTATTTTAATAGTTTTAAAACACCTATTGACGTAAATGAATTTCTTTAGGGACTGTTCTAAAAATTTATCATATTGTTACAGAAATAATTTTTGTATATAATTTTTTAAAGAGAAACCGTTTACAATGAGGACGCAGAGACCGTGACTATTCACTCGCTAAATAAGAATGCTTATTAAATCCAAAATCAAAATTTCAATTTACAAAAGTGAACAAGAAAATATTTAATACAATGTATTCGAATTTAATACAATATATTCGAATGTGATAGTGGCGAGTGGTTTATTTATGACTTTCTCATTACTCTACATTTTACAAACATTTAGTCACAAACAGTTACGAGGACATCAGAAGCAAAAATAGATATAGAATCTGTCTGAAAATTTATTTTGCAACATATACTGTTAGCTGTTATTGCAACTCGAAAAAAGTTTTTAAATTTCATTTCTTTTCTTCTTTGATACATTAATGAACAAAATACTGAAGGAAAATAGAACATTCATTATTAAACAATGAAACATTCTTCGAGATTTTAATACATATTTTCTTTTTCTTTTTTCGACGTTAATAAACACAATCAGAATATTACATTCAAGAAACATATCGATCTCATTGTTCAAGAAACATATCGATAACATTACCTTGTTCAATGCATGCATCACACTTCGTGTAATTTGCAGTGCAGCAGCATTGCATTCTTCATTGTGAAGGAAAAGAAATGATAACATAATAATGCTATAATGCTGTTAAGATGTACTTAAAAATTTTCTGAATGTTAGTGATATTCAAATATTTGTGTGTGTAAATTACATGCACACAAGCGTATTACAAATATTGTTAATAAAACATCTGAGAAACTGAAAGTTTTCATTCATTGGAGCAACTTATTTTATGTCTTTCAGACATCGTAGACCGTCTTCGAATGGGTACAAGTCCTCCTTTCAGACCAGAAATTGCTCAAGACGAATGCCCGGCAGACATGCTTCAACTCATTACGCAATGCTGGGAAGAAAGTCCTGATCTGCGACCAAGTTTTTCAGAAGTCAAGCACAGATTAAAAAGAATCACTAGGTAATTTATTAAACTAATTCGAAATTCAGCGTAAGAGTTTGTCTCCGAATTAATGAGTAAAAACATCATTGTATAGATCCTAATGGTACTGTATTATACAGAACAACCTTACAAGCTCTCCTTTCAGAGTAAGAAATATTATACTGAAGAAAAACGTAAAATTACTCTTCTTTCAGAGTATCGTTGAAGACGAACATCTAGGTATGTCTGTTCCGTACATAGTACAAAGAGAAAAATACCGACCTAAGATGAAGCTTAAACAAATTAAGCACAAATTGAAAATAACCGTAAGATAATCTTTAACAACTTCTAATTTCAAAATGTAAAATATTATTCTTTTTTTTTCAACTTTGAAAAGATATTTAGTTTGAATTCAACTTTTATCATCTTTATATAGAATAAATAATTCCGTATGTATATTCAATTGATACAATGTATAAATTGAACTGGGGAACAAATTTTTGGAGCATTTATACAAATTCTTGACCTTGCCTATTTCGGATGTGGGGATTTCAAATCTAAAATTAGACTTGCTCCTAAATCTTATGATTTTTTTTAAATTTAAAAATGGCATTTTTAGTCTATTTTTTGTTGCAATTTACAAGTATAAAATCGTCATGTGAGCAAGGGATTGCGAAAATGTTTCGACACGCTTCTAAGGGACTTAAGGCATATCATTAGGCTTAAAATTGAATAGAAACCCATGCCCGGAAATGTTTCGCACGTGGCTGTATTTTGACCTGTTCAGAAGCACACGAAGAAGCAGTTGATAATAGAGAATAACACCTAGAGGCGCATGATGACATTTACAGGCAGGGATTCCTATGCAATTTTAATCTAGATGATGTATCTTAACTTCCTGATACGTTTGTCACTTACGCAATCCTGTTACGTATATCTAACGTTTTTAAATCTGACAAAAAAAACAGTAAAAATATCCGCTGTTTGTAAGGAGAAACTGATTGCAGATTTGAAATCAGCGACATGAAAATATCCAAGATCCATTTAAAAAAAACCTCATGCAACAGAAAAAAAGAAGAGAAAAAAAAGAGATGAGAAAGAAATTGATCCCCTGTGATGTTATTTATTACTGATTTAGCGTCTTTATTTGTTTTAAACTTGTAATAATGCTTATTATCAAAGGATAGTTTAACATATAAATCTAAAAAATAGAAATAAAAAATCCATTTTTCAAATATATACATTAAACACTATTCTATCTTCCAAAAATTATGAAAAATTAGGACGGGTTAGTTTGATTAGGACACATATTGAACGTAAAATTTTAAAAAATTTTATTATTGTGATAGTTATGAGAGTAAATTCAAAGCAACAAGCACTATTCCCCCCCCCCAAAAAAAAACACTTTATTAATATTTGATATAACATGAATAGCCCAATAAAGGGAAAAAAAACTTTTACAGAATAATAAATTACAGTGCATGATGATAAATTTTGTCTTCTTTTTGCTAATTTGATCTTTCTTACAACAATACTCACAATAGATTAACAAAATCTATTTTAAAAGATTAATTTTCCAAATGACGAAACTGCAATGTTAATAATTATACAACTACAAGTTATATAAATTTATTCTGCAATTTTTTTTATTTTTTAAATATTGCAAAACAACTATGACAAGAAATTTTTGATTTTTGTATTGTTTATTAAAAACAATGATTACATTTTCTTTTTCTGGTTTAATGATTATATATTTTTTTTAAACAGAGGAATGTCAAGCAAAAACTTCCTGGATAATTTATTGACCAGGATGGAGCAATATGCGAATGACTTGGAAAGTTTAGTAGATGAAAAAACTCAATCACTTCACGACGAGAAACGAAAAACAGATGAATTGCTTTATCAAATGATTCCTAAGTAAGCCATTTTATAATGAGGATGATACATTTGAAACTTAATATTGAATATGTTTAAATATTGAAGGAACAATGAGGATTTTTTTTTTCGATCATCAAAATTCGCAGTATTTGAAACTAACTCTGTTAAATATTCCAATTTCTGTATCTGTATATTATTCTAATTGATAATAAATCATCCTTTACCTTTTTTCTTAAACTTCTTTTTGAATGTTTATTAAACATAATTTTTCCTTTATGTACATTATCTAAAACAGAAAAGAAGTAAAAAAAAATCAATACCTTTAAATTCTGCACATCCAAAATATTTTTTTCAACTTTTTCCTTTCGCAGGCTCAAATAGGTTCAACTAAACTTTTTCCTTTCTCCAGCTCAAATAGGTTCAACTATTTTAACTTTCTCCTTTCTCCGGCTCAAATAGGTTCAACTATTTTAACTTTTTCCTTTCTCCGGCTCAAATAGGTTCAATTATTTTTTTTTTTAAATTTATTTATTTATTTTTTTAATTATCGTCCTCTTTAAAAGTAAAAAACATTAACATTTTACTTCACTTGAGTCGAAGACTTTTCATTGACGATGTGATAGCAAAGTGAAAAATTAGTTTTTTTCTAAGAAAACGAGAAAAAAAAGTCTAAAATATTAGAATGAAAGCCATTTTTTCTTTAAATAAATTATTTCATAATAAATAATTAAAACATTTAAACGATTCAAGTCCCTAGGTGCTTAATTTACTGTCATTTGTATAGAATTTCAAATATCATTTAACCTGGTATTATAAATTAAAGTCTTTCTTGTCACTACAATAAATGTAATTAGCAGAATAATATATTTATGTAAAGCAATACTGTGCAGCATTTATTTAAAGCTCAAATATTTAATTAAGCATACGTTAAATACTTATTCATATTTTTATTACGAAAGTGACAATTGTATTATCCCCTCGATAGTAAATAAAAGCAGGATTCTAAATATTAATTAACGAATTAATTTACATAAATTAATTATATAAATTAATTCTCGAATAAATTAATTCAAGAATTAATTTATTTCTTGAACAAAAGACTTCATTGGCTTAGAAAATATTCAGATGGAAGTAAGAGTCGACATGTGTCAAGAGCTTAAAATTAAGCTCTCATTTTCAAGACTTCTCTGACGCGAATGAAAGGAAAGAAAAGTAATTTGAAATATAAAATGCAAAGTAACCAACGGAAAAAGGAAAATAAAGGTGAGATATATAACTAGAAAAACCGCAGTAGCCGAAGGGGAAAAAAAATTAAAGATTAAAAAACAGAATACGTCGCTGAGAGGGACAAATCAGGGTAAAATGCATTCCCACGCCCTGTGGAGAGTTGGTAAAAAACTAATGTCCTTCCAGGAAAATCAGCATTTATATAAATGAAACAAGATTCCAGGGCATCAAGATGAGCTCATGTGACAGGGATGGAAATAATTTTGGTATTGTCAAAATTGAATTTATGCTTAAGATTCCAACCATGCGCAATACATCGTTCTTCTTAAACATGAATTTTAAAGCGCTTCGGTTTTATCCGATGTTACTAAAGTTAAACTGACAAGGTATGTGGAAAATGCCCAAGCAATTTTCAAAACTGATCGAATTTTTAAGAAACTTAAATGTAATTTCTTAGTTTATAATTTCTTTCTGGTAATTAGGGTGTTTAAAATTAACAAGAGGAAGCAAAGAGACGGTAAAATGTTTACGATCAATTGAGGTGGGAAATGATTAAGGTGTTTAGTTGCAAGAGCAACTACATCTAAAAAAGGTAAAGTAAAATTAATTTTCGTGTCCAACGTAAACTTAATGTTGGGATCAACCGAGTTGACAACAGAAAGTAACTCTTGAAAATCTGTATCACTGTCAGTTAAGACAAATCTATCGCAAACCTGTCTTTTTCACCATCAGAATTTATAAACATTTTTAAAAAATTTTCTTCGAAATACATATATGCATATATGTCGCAAAGAATGGGAGAGATTGGGTGGTCCGTGGCTAAACCCTCAATTTAGTAATGGAAATAACCATCAAATTGATAAGTAGTTTGCTGAACACGGAAATTGACAAAGAGGTAATATCTTAATTTTCAGTAATAAAAAAAAGGTGAAATTCTTGCAATCATAGTTTTAAACAATTAATACCACAAGAAATGGAGATATTAGTGAAAAGAAGAACACACCAAGACGGAGCATATATTTTATAGGGGACCACATACTTTTGCCAGTGTGACCTTAGTTACATGGGACAAACCAGGCATTTTTTGAATTGTAGAACACGATAGATAAGTCCGTTATCAAGAATACAATAAACCATCAACTGCTGCACATTATTGGAACCTTGGGGATAAATTCAATTTCGACAATGTCAAAATTATTTCCATCCCAGCCACATCAGCTCATCTTGGCACCCTTGAATCTTGTTTCATTCATATGAATGTCGATTACCCTGGTACGACATTAATTCCTCACCACCTCTACATAGCACTTGGAAACACATTTTCTTGTTCAGTTTTCTCATCTGTATCGGTTTTTCTCACAAAAGTGAGAAAAACCGATTTTCCACTTTTCGTGGCAATTTTACGTTTTATATTTTGAATCACTTTTGTTTCTTCTCATTCACGCCTGGCAAGTTTTAAGAATGGATACCACTTTTTGAGAGCTTGAAACATGTCTACTTCCAATCCACAAATCCAATGAAGTTTTTTAATAAAGTAATATCTTACTGCAACAGTTACTCAGGGTAATTTATTTACTATTAATTCATTTGTTATATTCGGTTTAAAAAAAGTAAGTTTTTTTTTCCTAAAGATATGTCGCTGAAGAATTAAAGAAGGGATGTCATGTAAAACCGGAGTTCTTTGATTCTGTTACTATTTTCTTTAGTGATATCGTAGGTTTCACACAGCTGTCTGCTGAAAGCTCACCTATGCAGGTAACTTTAAGTTTTCTAATTTTACAAGATGTATGAATTCCAATACTAGCTTATTAAACAAATGTGCGTTTTTTACAGGTTGTTGATTTTTTGAATGATCTTTATTCTTGCTTTGATTCAATCATCGAACACTTCGATGTGTATAAGGTAATTTTATTTTTTATAAACAAACCATTAATGAATTTAATAAAAAATCAATTTAAGTAACATTTCAACGAATATGAAAAGCTTAGTTTTAGAATGTATAATAGCAAAAAGGGAAAAAAATATCAGTCAGCTGTCCTTAAAATAACTTTTTAGATTTGGCAGAAAAAAATTAATAGAGCTCATGAAGTAAGGTATGTTCTCACAACAGACCGTAGTCGACCACAACAGAATCTCTGCACCAAAAGCAGTTAGATAATTACGCCAAACAGCTTTATCAGCCATAAGTCACACAAATTTATGCCAAAATTTCGATTTAGCATTCAAAATATAAAAATAATACACCCTTTTCAGTTTATTTTTAAAAAAAAAAGTTAACTAGAAAAAACTTCTAAGCAAGAAAACTAATACTTTCTCAGAAAATTAAGCATATTTTTGTTATGTAACAGCATAAGTAACACTGGGAAATAAATTTTTTGTTGCATTTATACAAATACTTGATCTTGCCTAATTTGGGTACGGGGTTTTAGTTTAAATTAGTTTAGCTCCTTAAACAGCAGATTTTTTTAAATAAATTCTTAGTATATTTCTTTTCGAAATGTACAAGTTTTAAATCGTTATCTATAAAGGGGGTCGTGCAAATATTACGACAAAGGGGAGTTTGAGCACATAGTAAATAACATAGAAATCCGTATCGTAAGTGTCTAGGGGTGCTTCACTGTTATGGCCTGTTCAGAAGTGCACGAAGAATCAGTTCATATTAGGGAAGCACCCCTAGCTGTGTATAACGAAACTTTCGGACACGAGTTCCTATGCAGTTTTAATTCTGATGATGTGCTTTAACTCCTCTAGAAATTTATCGCAATTCTGATGATGTGCTTTAACACCTCTAGAAATTTATGGCAATATTTATGCAGCCTCTTTTTTATATAAAACGTTTTTATGCCTGTACATTTCGACAAAAAAAATTACTATAAATATCTACTTAAAAATTTGTAGTTTAGAGAAAGAAACCAACGACAGATTTGATATCAGCTATACGGAAGTATCTAAGCTCTGTTAAAAAAAATCTAATGCAACAGAAAGCAAAAAAAAAATTCAGTGAAGTTTTATAAAAGTGCCGAGTTCATAGTTTCTTAAAGCTAACTATTTTGCAAAATATATGATTTTCTTACAATATTTTAATATGTAATAGAAAATTTGATTAAGATTTAAAAAAAAGGCAGCATGCCCATAATTTTAAAGTCGATATAAGAATTTTTCGTTTCGTTTCCTTTCAGCAAATTTTGACTCTCAGTCAATCACAGATTATAAACAGTATATCGTATCTTTTATAACTACATTAGATACAAGGACTCCAGTTAATCTCAATATTCATTATTTTCAAAATTTCACTCAATTCCTTCGTCGATTTCTTCAATCGAAAGATATTTTAGGAAATCATATATCTAAATATTAATTTTGGAAAATTCAAAAGAAAGATATTAAACTATATTGTTCGAAAAATATTCTATAGAACTACAAATAAAGTCAGATATTAATATCAAGCATTGATTACTTCACATCTTCACAAATGTATATAGTAAGTATTTTTATTTTAAATATAGTATTTTTATTGGTAAACTAGAGATATATTTTTTTGTCTTACGTGACTTCAAAATTATGGATATTCCTTTAACTAAATTAGCAACTTACGATCCGTACGTAAATGCACCTGATCTATTACTATTGCCTTTTAAAAATGTGTAAATACACTAAATATTAAAAGGAAAAAAATTGATTTATAATTAGAAAATGAGTTTTACTTTTTTAAAAATAAGCTCGGAAAATACATTTAGGCCGAAAAATACATTTAGATAATGTAAACGTGTATTGTCATAAGGTATTTTTAAAGTCAATTAGGCAGGATAAAAAAATTTAGAGCAATATTTATTTCAGTAACATTAACAACACTACTACAATTTCAAATTTGAGAAGCTAGAATTTTGTTAGTTAATATTAAAAGAAACCAATGCTACATCTGGGGAGTTGCGAGGCGGCAAGAATGCTTAGGTATTACTTAGTTAGTTGCTGTAGTTAGGTATGACTTAGCTAGTAGCTAATACTATTTAAAAAATTTTACAGCTTGCAAACTTCTACAAAATGTATTTTCAACGAAATGAAGAATTATTTCAGAAATGTTTTTATAAAAATATGTATAAGCATGAGAAATGATTAATGTATGTGTAAAAAGTCAAACTAAAGTAAAACGTTTCTGATTTTTTATTTGCTATGTTTTTATACCGCATTTTTTTTCTCCAGAAAATTAAGGACAACGATAGTGACAGTGGCTCTTAAAACATTTAATTTAATGATTCAAATCCGCATATTTCACTTAGAAACGAGAAATAAAATAATTTATGTCTGGGTTTTTTTAATTTTTAAAGAGGAAAATTTAATTATTTAGAGTTTCAGTTTCAGAAATTATATGTGTGGATGATGTAAAAATATAAATTCAAACTAATAGCAAAAATTCCTTCTAAAGAACTTGAATTTAGTTTAGCATCCTTCACATTAGCCAAAATTCAATTGTAAAGGAAAATTATGCAATAATCATATTCATGTAAACAATGAGTAAAATTTAAAAACATACAAAATATAACAGTGCTAGAATTAAAGAGAACTTTTAAGAAATGTTGTACAGTAACTATAAAATTCTTACTTTTTATTGATTAACGTGTTTTATTTTAATAATACTGACACGAACTGTCGGAAACGATTTGTTATATTCCATTTCTCACATGCATAACAAAATAAGTTCTACTTAAAGACTATTAAAATGTTACTAAAACAACATAATAATTGATTATATTAATAATATTGAAATCAATTTCGGTTAAAATAAAATTGTTTTCCAGGTTGAAACTATTGGAGACGCTTACATGGTAGCCTCCGGTCTTCCTGAAAGAAATGGAATCGAACATGCCAGAGAAATAGCTAGATTAGCTTTACAATTGCTGCGGTCCTTAGAAAATTTCAAAATTCGCCACAAACCTAATACTAAACTTAAACTACGGATAGGAATACATTCTGGTAGGTTTATAATATTGTTAACTATCATAACTATGTGGTGTAGCTAAAATCAGCTCGTGCACCAATTACTTCAATTCAACTGCAAGAATTAGAACATTCATTGAGAAATTTGACAATCAAACGTATTTGAGGACTTACAGTATACAATGAAATTGTATACTGTAATTTGAATAATATTTTGTAATAATGTATTTTGTATTAATGTAAATGAATATTTTACAAACATACACGTAGCACTTGAGCAACAGCTAGAATTTATGCAATAGTTTGAATTTATTCAATTCTGCAATTTATTGCAACTGTGTGATTCATGACAAGACTAATAAAAAACTTAACATTTTTCATTTTATTGTTTATTTTTGTAATTGTTATTTTATTATTGTTTAAAACTGTTTATTTTTGAACAAATAGAACCAAAGGTCTGTTTTTAAGTCCTTCGAAAGCATTGAAATTTCTTTGAAAAAATCGATAACTTTTTTTTTCTAACAGATTCATAGAATTAATTAATTATTATGTATATATATATATTGCGATTAATAACACAATAAAGAGACAAAAAAAGAAAACAACAAAAATATATTACTAAGCAGAAAAAGTATTACAAATGTTTTGTTTTTTAAAAAAATTTAAAGAACGGAAACAAATTGAAACATTTGCAATTTCTTATTCTCTTTGGCAATAAACATTTGACCTGAATTGGTATAGTACAACATTCTTAATGAATTTCATAATTCTAAAGAAATTAATAGGTTATGGAAGAATAGAAGAAATAAAATTAAAAATGAAATATTAATTTTCTCACCTGTGGTTTGATTTCAATGAAACTAAAAGAGTTTTTAAATATAAAATCTCAATTTTCACAACTAATTCTTTATGTAACAGGTACTTGTGTTGCTGGTGTAGTCGGCATGAAAATGCCTCGATACTGTTTATTTGGAGATACAGTAAATACAGCTTCGAGAATGGAATCAACAGGTGAAGGTAAATGTACTTTTACTGTTAAAGTAAATTTGAATATCCGGTGCTTCGTAGAGAAGACTGGAGTCCTAAAAATAACTAGCGATTTAGAGCTGTGTTAAAAAATAATTTAATTTATATCAATAAAGCAAAATGTTTGAATGCATGTGTATGTATGTATCCTGCACAAATCAGCAATTTTGAACCGATACGCAGCTAGATAAAAGTAAATAAGATGGGAGACTCGTGCTCTCTTCTTTCTGATTTGAGATTTCCAAGAGTTCTTGGCTCGCTGCTGTAGCAAATCAAAAATTAGTTTTATCTCAAGATTCTATAAATTATTTATATTTTGTTTCCTTTGTTAGTTCATCACAAGTTTTTTTCTTCGAATGGCAGGCACTGAACTTTATTCGTTTCGCCTTAAAAGATGCCAGAGGTGCTACTCATTTCGCGTTACCCAGTGGGCACCTGTGAACCACAGTAACGGAGGCGAGTAACATTGCTCACGCCAGAAACCCGTTCATAGGGTGCGCCACATTCACACCCAACAGAGGACAACACAAGAGGGAGAAACATCCATGCCCAGAGCGGGATTCGAACCCGCAGCCATTGGCTTCGCACTCACGAGTGCTAACCGCTTTGCCACCTGGTCGGCAGTTTATCACAAGTAATCTACACGCAAATTTTCACGACGTATGGTGATGACGTCACCATACGTCGTGAAGGCTTTTTTTACAGTTTGTTTGTTTGTTGTTAATTTACGTCGCACTAGAGCTGCACAATGGGCTATTGGTGACAGTCTGGGAAACATCCCGGATGATCCGAAGACATGCCATCACAATTTTGATCCTCTGCGGAGGGGATGGCACCCCGCTTCGGTGGCCCGACGACCTGCGCGCGAAGTCGAGCACTTTACGGTAGCACAGTTTAACGAGNTGAAGAATTAAAGAAGGGATGTCATGTAAAACCGGAGTTCTTTGATTCTGTCACCATTTTCTTTAGTGATATCGTAGGTTTCACTCAGCTGTCTGCTGAAAGCTCACCTATGCAGGTAACTCTTTGTTTTCTAATTTCACAAAATTTATGAATTCCAATGCAAGTTTATAAAACAAATGTGCGTTTTTTGCAGGTTGTTGACTTTCTGAATGATCTTTATTCTTGTTTTGATTCAATCATCGAGCACTTTGATGTGTATAAGGTAATTTTATTTTTATAAACAAACCATTAATGAATTGAATGAAAGATTAATTTAAGTTTCATTTTAATGTATATGTGAAGCTTAGTTTTAGAACGTGTAATAGCAAAAAGGGAGAGAAAAAAATATCTGTCAGCTGTACTTTATAGATTATATAAATAACTTTTAGGTAAATAACTTTTTAGAATTAGCAGAAAAAATTTAATATAGCTAATGAAGTAAGGAATGTTCTCATATCAGACCGTAGTCGACCATAACAGAATCTCTGCACCAAACGCAGTTAGATAATTACGCAAAACAGCTTTATCAGCCATAAGTCACACCAAAGCTATACCAAAATTTCGATTTAGCGTTCAAAATATAAAAATAATACTCCCTTTTCAGTCTATTTTAAAAAAAAAGTTAACTAGAAAAAACTTCTAAGCAAGAAAACTAATACTTTCTCAGATAATTAAGCATTTTTTTATCTTTTTGTCATATAATAGCATAAATAATACTGGGGAATAAATTTTTTTTTGCATTTACACAAATACTTGATTTTGCCTAATTTGTGTGTGGGGTTATAGTTTAAATTAGTTTTGTTCCCTAAACTACAGATTTTTTTAAATAAATTTTTAGTCCATTTCTTTTCGAAATGTACAAGCTTAAAAACGTTATACACCGAAGAGCCGTTATACACCGTTATACACCATTATGACCACCCTCCATCTATAACGATGGGCTCGCCCAGGTTTTCATGGTTTCTCGCACAGGAACAATGTTTTCATGCTGCACATTAGGACCCATAATCCTCATAAAACAATCCCTGACGTCTGTAAGCTACTTGAACATAGTTGCAGACCAGGTTCAACCATTCATGGCAACAGTTTTTCCTGCGGGGGATGGTGTTTACCAACAGGATAATGCACCATCTCATAAGAGTCTAATCGTTATGGATTGGTTCGAGGAACATTCCAATGACTTTCAAGTCATGTCTTTTCCCCCAAATTCACCTGACCTTAATCCAATAGAGCATTTGTGGTCCTACTTGGAAAACCAAATTCGTGCTGCCTAACTACCCCCTCGCAATGTGAGGGAATTGCAGGACCAAAGGTGGTCCTACATGTTATTTGCAGGGTGGTCATAATGTAATGGCTCCTCGGTGTATATAAAGGGGGTCGTGTAAATATTGCGACAAAGGAGAGTCTAGGTTAGTTAGGGCACATAGTAAGTAACATAAAAACTCATATCGTAAGCAGCTAGGGGTGCTTCCCTGTTATGACCTGTTCAGAAGTACACGAAGAATCAGTTCATATTAGGGAAGCACCCCCAAAGGTGTATAACGGGACTTTCGGACATGAGTTCCTAAGCAGTTTTAATTCTGATGATGTGATTTAACTCCTCTAGAAATTTGTCGCAACATTTATGGGACCTCTTTTTTACATATAACTTTTTTTAACTTGTACAGTTCGAAAAAAAATTTACTAAAAATGTCTACTTAAAAAATTTTAGTTTTGAGAGAGAAATCAACGGCGGATTTGATATCAGGGATGCAGAAGTATCTAAGGTCTGTTAAAAAAAATCTAATACAACAGAAAGCAAAAAAACATTTTCAGTGAAATTTGATAAAAGCGCCGAGTTTAGCTATCACAATCATAGTTCCTAAAAGCTAACTATTTCGCAAAATATATAATTTTCTTACAATATTTTAATATGTAATAGAAAATTTGATTAAGATTAACTTCTAAAAAAAAAAACAGCATGCCCATAATTTTAAAGTCGATATAAGAAATTTTTGTTTCGTTTCCTTTCAGCAAATTTTGACTCGCAGCCAATCACAGACTATAAACCGTATATCGTATCTTTTTTAACTACTTTAGATACAGGGACTCTAGTTAATACCAATACTAATTATTTTCAAAATTTCACTCAACTTTCCTTCGTCGATTTCTTCAATCGAAAGATATTTTAGGAAATCATATATCTAAATATTAATTTTGGAAAATTCAAAAGAAAGATATTAAACTATATTGTTCGAAAAATATTCTATAGAACTACAAATAAGGTCAGATATTAATATCAAACATTGATTACTCCTCGTCTTCACAAACGTATACAGTAAATATTTTTATTCTAAATATAGTATTTTTATTGGTAAACTATAGATATATTTTTTTGTCATACGTGACTTCAAAATTATGGATATTCCTTCCACTAAATTGGCAACTTTCGATCCGTACGTAAATGCACCTAATCTATTATTGTTGCCTTTTAAAATCGTGTAAATACACCAAATACTAAAAGGGGAAAAAATTGATTTATAATTAGAAAATGAGTTTTACATTTTTAAACAATAAGCCCGGAAAATACATTTAGGTATTGTAAACTTGTATTGTCATAAGGTATTTTTTTAAAGTCAATCAGGCAGGATAAAGAAATTTAGCGCAATATTTATTTCAGAAACATTAACAACACTACTACGATTTTAAATTTGAGAAGCTAGAATTACTTAATTAGTTAATATTAAAAGAAACCAATGTTACATCTGAGGAGCTGCGAGGCGGCAAGAATGCTTAGGTTGCTTAGTTGCTGTAGTTATGTACGACTTAGCTAGTTGCTAATACTATTTCAAAAATTTTACAGCTTACAAACTTCTACAGAATATCTTTTCAAACAAATATAAAATTATTTCAGAAATGTTTTTATTAAAATATAAGCATGAGAAATGGTTAATGTATGTGTAAAAAGTCAAACTAAAATAAAACGTTTCTCATTTTTTATTTGCTATGCTTTCATAACGTATTTTTCTCCAGAAAATTAAAGACAAAGTGGCTTTTAAAACAATTGTTGTTGTTGTAGTTCATTTACGTCGCCCTAGAGCTGCACAATGGGCTATTGGCGACGGTCTGGGAAGCATCCCTCAGGATGATCCGAAGAGATGCCATCACAATTTTGATCCTCTGCAGAGGGGATGGCACCCCGCTTCGGTAGCCCAACGACCTGCACGCGAAGTCGAGCACTTTACGGTAGAACAGTTTAACGAGGACCAATACAGCACACCCTCGGTCCCTACGCAGACTGATCCAAGTGGGTCACCCACCCGCACACTGACCGTAGCCAGTGATGCTTGAATTCAGCGATCTGCTAGGAACCGTGTCTTAACGATCAGTCCACTGCGGGACTTTAAAACATTTAATTTAATGATTCAAATCCGCCGACCAGGTGGCCGAATGGTTAGCGTGTCTGACTGCGGAGCCGATGGTCGCGGGTTCGAATACTGCTCAGGGCATGGATGTTTCTCTCTCTCTCTCTCTCTCTCTCTGCGTTCGATGTTCTTTCTCCTTTGTGTGTGATTGTGTGAATGTGACCCGCCCTATAAACGGATTTGTGGTTGTGTGACGTGGCGATACTGCTCCTCAGTCGGGGCTTCGCCAAAGGTGCCCAATGGGTAACGAGAAGAGAGTAGCAGTTCTGGCATTTCTGAGGCCAATGGGTCTACGTGAGAATGATAAAAAAATGATTCAATGAGACGAGAAATAAAATCATTTATGTTTGGGATTTTCTATTTTTAAAGACGAAAATTTAATTATTTAGAGTTTCAGAAATTATATGCCTAAGTAACTTTGTCTAGTGTAAAAGTATAAATTCAGACTAATAGCATAAAATTCCTTCTAAAGAAGGTGAATTTAGTTTAGTATCTTTCACATTAGCCAAAATTCAATTGTAAAGAAAAATTATGCAATAATCATATTCATGTAAACAATGAGTAAGATTTAAAAACATACAAAATATAACAATGCTAGAATTAAAGAGAACTTTTAAGAAATGTTCTAAAAAATAACTAAAAAATTCTTACTTTTTATTGATTAACGTGTTTTATTTTAATAATATTGATATGAACTGCCGGAAACGATTTGTTACATCTCATTTCTCCATATACGCATAACATAATAAGTTCTACTAATAAGACTACTAAAATGTTACTAAAACAACATAATAATTGATTATACAGTCAAACCCCGCTATTGTGAACCTTCAAGGGACCGAAATTTCTGTTCACTATAACCGAGAGTTCACTATATCCGTTCCGCAAACTATTTTAACTAATGGCTCCGAACTCCTTCTTTTGATTATACATTATTTAAATAAATGACCTATAAAAAGAAATATAAAAATGACTGAAAAATAATACGTAGTAACAAAAAATGTGTTAACTTGCTTTTATTTTTCATTACTCTTCGTCTTGTGAACAAAAAAAAATTAGTAATCTTTAGCCGATGCAAAGAAAAATTTGTCCATACATCTGCCTTGGTGGGCCTTTGTTTATGGATGGAAAAGTGTGATAATAGAAGCAAACAAGAAAAAATGCTTATCGCTACTTTCCACTCTATAGATGGTTTTAAAAAAGTATTTATTTTGAAATAAGTATTTATTTTGTATAAGTATTTATTTTGAAGTAGACATTTCAAAATTATTTTTAAAAAAATCAGTCGAAGACAGAAAAAAGTTCATAATATTCAACTTCCTCACTTTTTTAGTTCACTATATCCACAAAAAATTACTTTATACGTGTATAGAAAGGCACGGGACCAAACATTTCGTTCACTATATCCGGGAGTTCACTATAGCGGGGTTTGACTGTATTAATAATATTCAAATTAATTTCGGTTAAAATAAAATTGTTTTTCAGGTTGAAACCATTGGAGACGCTTACATGGTAGCCTCCGGTCTTCCTGAAAGAAATGGAATCGAACATGCCAGAGAAATAGCTAGATTAGCCTTGCAATTGCTGCGGTCCTTAGAAAATTTCAAAATTCGCCACAAGCCAAATACTAAGCTTAAACTGCGGATAGGAATACATTCTGGTAGGTTTATAATATTGTTAACCATCATAACGATGTGGTGTAGCTAAAATCAGCTTTTGCACCCAATACTTCAATTCAACTGTAAGAATTAGAACAATCATTGAGAAATTTGACACTCAAACGTATTTGAGGACTTACAGCATACAATGAAACCCATATCTTACAAAAAGGCAATGGATATGAAATGCATGAACATACACGTAGCACTTGAGCAACAGCTAGAATTTATGCAATGGTTTGAATTTATTCAATTCTGCAATTTATTGCAGCTGTGTGATTCATGACAAGACTAATGAAAAACTTAACATTCTTCATTTTACTGTTTATTTTCGTAATTGTTATTTTATTATTGTATAAAATTGTTTATCATTGAACAAATAGAACCAAATGTCTGCTTTTAAGTCCTTCGAAAGCGTTTAAATTTCTTGCATTGAAAATCGATAATTTTTTTTCTAACAGCTTCATTAAAATAAATTTTATATATATATATATATATATATATAATGTGATTAGCAACACAATAAAGAGACAAGAAAGAAAACAACAAAAAATATATTATTAAGCAGAAAAAGTATTACAAATAAGTTGTTTTTTAAAAAAAATTTCAAAACCGGAAACAAATTAAAAAGTTGTGCAATTTTTTGTTCTCTTTGGCAATAAGCATTTGGAGTGAATTGGTATAGTACAACATTCTTAATGAATTTCATAATTGTAAAGAAATTAATAAGTTATGGAAGAATAGAAGAAATAAAATTAAAAATGAAATATTAATTTTCTCACCTGTGGTTTGATTTCAATGAAACTAAAAGAGTTTTTAAATATAAAATCCTAATTTTCACAACCAATTCTTTCTGTTACAGGTACTTGTGTTGCTGGTGTAGTCGGCATGAAAATGCCTCGATACTGTTTATTTGGAGATACAGTAAATACAGCTTCGAGAATGGAATCAACAGGTGAAGGTAAATGTACTTTTACTGTTAAAGTAAATTTGAATATCCGGTACTTCGTAGAGAAGACTGGAGTCCTAAAAATGACTAGCGATTTAGAACTATGTCAAAAAATAATTGAATTTATATCAATAAAGCAGAAAGTTTGAATGCATGTGTATGTATGTATACTGCACAAATCAGCAATTTTGAACCGATACGCAGCTACTAGTTAAAAGTAAATAAGATGGGAGACTCGTGCGCTCTTCTTTCAGATTTGAGACTTCCAAGAGATTTGATAAATATTTTATAATATCAGTGATTTGTTAGCTCGCTGTTCCAGCAAATCAAAAAGTAGTTTTATCACAAGATTCTATAAATTATTTATATTTTGTTTCCTTTGTTAGTTTATCAGAAGTAATCTACACGCAAATTTTCACGACGTATGGCAATGACGTCATCAAATTCGTATTTTAAAAAGTATGGGACCACGTGTTTCTCTACTGATAGTTACACTTTTAAAGCGTGTCCCTGTAAACTTAAATAATGGAACAAACAAACAAAATAAACAACATAAAATAATAAAATAAACAATAATTAAATAAACAACATAATAATAATTAAATAAACAACAAGAACTAATAAAATAAAATTGAAGATATGGGAAAATTATCGTTAATTCTGAATATCACATCTTAAATGGCACTATATGGATAGTTAACCTTTCTTTTGGTCAGTTGAACTTATCATATTATGGCAAATCTAATAGTTTGGAGCTGCACCGGTATATACAACAAGTAAGAAAAACAATAAAGGTTGTGTATTAAGTGCCATGAATGTTTAGTATGGTGATCAGAGTACTTAACCGTTTAAGAGGGGGTAAATAACCTATTACTACAGTACTTATACATAAGGCCCCTATAATGGTATAATAGGTTCGCATAACTTATAGCAGTAGCCTGAAACATTAGCATTTATATAACCAATAGCATTTCATACCACATTTAAATGAAAATTATTGGCGTAAATGACAGTTTGGCAATTTTTATGGCCTTCGAAATAAGCACCGATATCAGTTCGCAAAAAATTATAATAAACCCCACTGCCGGTACTAACTATGTTTCGAAAATTACAATTTAATAATTTTAGTTAAAGGTAGAAATTAAAGTAAAAAAATTTTTTTTATTTATTTAAAAGCAAAATTAAAGGAGAAAATATATTTATTCTTGTATGAGAACAGTATTATTTGCCATAATAGTATTGACGAAAATGATGTTTAATTAATTTTGGTAGTAGGCACAAATTTAAATTTCAAAAAAAATTTTCACTTAAAAACCGCCATTTTGAATCTTAAAATTCTAAATTTAGTCTTTGTCAGTGACCTTGTTAAACCCATATATGGATAAAGTTTTGAAAATAAGCGAAGTATGAGTTTTGACGACTTTCCGACTGAAGCACAGCCGTGAATGTTCGCCTTCTATTATTTTTTATAGTCTGCGACCGGATGTAGTCTGTGCGTAGCGTCTTTGGTCTAATTTACGGATAGATAAGTCACCGGTGTTTGGTACTTCTGCACAAGATTGTGTGAAGACTCTAATCATAGCCATGTATCGGTTAAAAAAAAAGAGACTGCATTATTAACATTGGAATCATTAGCATGAAGAGTTGCCCCGTAAGCAGTAAGAAAAGGAAATCTATCATAACTTGTTATTGCTGAAAAAGACCGTAATCAAAACCAGTTTGATTGCTATAGAAAATAGACAAGTAACAAAAGGCAATTATTGGAAATCTCTCCACACCTCCAAATCTCAACAGGCAAGCAAACTGGTTTTGACAATTTTCGTCACAACTTTCTTGATTTGAAAATATTTCGATCGAGCTTTTCACTCATTTTTTTCTACCTATTATGTGTATCCCTCTTTTTGCGAGAATTTTACAAGTATACATTAAGACCAGCCTTAATAGATCCCCATGTATCTTACTTTATTTGGTGTAAAAAGACAGAAAATAGGCATGCCTTCCAAATAACAGTGAAGCCTCCCCATAGAACAAAGTTTCAAAACTATCATTTCTATGATAACAAGAATTTTAACTCCTTTATCTCCTTAATTATTAATCCCGCAAAGTAATTTAGCAAAAAAAAAGAATAAAAATTAAAAATTACACATTATTCTTAGAGAAAATTGTATTGAATTTAATTAATACGTTTGAAATTCTTCACTATAATTCACGGTAGTCAGAAAAACCTTTAAAAAGATAACACAATTTTCCCAAAACGCTGCATTTCCAAAACCACACTAAAAAAATTAGTTCATTTGCTTTTATAAGAAATAAAATTTATTTTATTTTGTATCTAAGCATTTCTTACAAGTGGGGCATATTGTGTAATATCAGGAAATAGTACGAATTTTTTTTTTTTTTAAGTCTTATCAAGCCCTAATAATTATGATTTTATACGAAGATTAACCGAATTAATAATCATACAGAAAATATTAAATAGAGATATATAGAGTTATAAATAACTTTTGTAGAAAACTAGAGCATAAAAAGTTTCAAATGTTTAGCGGGGGTGACATGTTCACATTCCTCTACTTATTTTTCGTTGCTTTTCCACCCTATGCCAAAATTCCTAAGGAATAATATTTTCTTAAATGTTACAGAAAATTAATTCCTTCAAGAAACTACCATCGTCTCCTTATTCGCATCAGTCAAATTTCGAAATCCCACTAATTTAATTTACATCCCTTCCGTAGACTTAAATTATTTATCACTTTATTTTATTTTATTTCTATATTATCAAAACTATAGTTCAGTAAAATTAGACCGAAAAAAATGTTGAGCCTAGAATTAGTTCCCAGAAAGCTGGAAATGATTTTATTCCACTTAAAGCATCTTAAATAAGATTAATGTGAAGTGAAGAACATAGTTGGCGACAGTTTCTGAGGTGGACTGAATTTTTAAAAGCCAAAAAAATGCGAAATTTTAAGTATTTTTTCAGTTTTTGCCTTATAACATCTGAACGATGCGTCGTACACAAAATTAGATATGCACCACAATTAAAGAACAGTATATTCCACATCAAATAGTATATTTAAATATTAAATTTAATCAATCGATTTGGTCAGATTCTGTAGTGAAAAACGAGCAATTTTTTTCCGCTTTTGATGAAAAATACGTTACGCTCATTTTCTAATTGCAGGTGATCCGAAAATGACACTAAATAAAAATATATATAAGCATTACATTTTTTTCTTTCAAGAAATACTTAATTTTAAAATTTTTCTTTGTTCTTCCCATAGGTACAAGCGAAAAACCAAAGCTAAAAGTAAAGCCTTTTTTCCGCCATAAGTCTTACTAATCAAATTCCTACGATATTAGATTGTTTAATTAAATTCTTCACATTTTATTATGGAGACCTGAGGTGGTATAAGGGTAAAATCTAGATGTTTAGATCAAGAATTGTAAGAAAATCCACAATTTTGTGAAATTAAAAAGCACCTGTGATTTAATTTTTCAACAGTTAAAAAGTTACTTTAAAGCTACGTTGTTTGGACTCTTAAAAATTAAAAATATGCAAAAATCGAAAAAAATTTTGAGCCCA